CTTGTCATCGCTAAAGTCAACATTTTCTCTTTATTTCAAATATATACCCAGCCCAAACAAATACAAACACACGTAACTTAGCCTGTACTGTGCCACTGACACACTGATTTAATAACTGTGACAAAGTGAAAATATAACGTTAGGCTAGTGTCATTTCGAAATGAAAGAAAAACACAAACCGTGGTAAAAACGACACGCGAAATAAAACACAAACGGCTCACGATTAGAATGAACAGCAAATCATCCAGCAGAGGATCAGTAACAGACTTTTTTTGGTCATTTTTGTAAATTGCACGACTTTCATACCTGTTAAGTTTCATGCCAGTACTGGTTTGCGCTCTCTCTCTCTCTCTCTCTCTCTGTGTGTGTGCGTGTGTGTCTTAAAGAGCCGCTGAGCTAACAGCTGACAGGCCGGGAACGCGCACACACACACACACTGTTATTTCTGACGGCAGACACGTGAACTAGAAGAACGTTTTTCTCGTATTTCTGACGTGCTTGAACCACATGTGACAGATTATAACAGCTTTAACAGACACATTTCTAAGTTTTGTGTCACAAAAACACTCTGTTATCCAATAAAAACATTATTGAAACCCATTTTTGGAGCGCAAATTACCAGTTGTACACGCTGTAAACGGAAGTTTTTAGCATTCTACCGGAAGACGCTTGTCGCTATGGCGCCCGCCATGCAGCAGCCATGAAAAAGGTCTATAGTGTTACTATTTATCATTTTGGTTGTGTATTGTGTGTCACACGAAAATATGAAGGAAGAGGTTTTGTCGTTGAATTTTACAGTCCAGTTCTGCAATGAAATAATCCTAACTTTGATTGTTTGTCTCCTTGCATGACAGAGGATTCATGAAACTCTATTAGCGCCAACTACACAACAATATAGCCCCCAAAAAAAATTACACAAGTGTACTCTTCTGACAAACTAAGAGCAGTGAAACACATAGTTTCATCAATACCAATAGCTAAAAATCCCCAAGAAGTATCCAAGTGGCTCCATTACTGAGTTAAAAGGATAGTTAAATTAACAATAGCCCCTTTCACACATACAGACCTCTCCAGAAAATTACCATCAGTTTTCTGGAAAGGTCTGTATGTGTGAACAGGCCCTTTTTGAAAATACCGGTAAATTCGTTTCGGCTATTTTCCGGAAAGAGAAGTTGTAACATTACCGGTAATTTGCTGGAATGCTGCTCTGTGTGAACGCAGAAGGAAGATTGCTGGAAAGCGCGCGTTCACGACTAGAACTTGCTGACATAAGACGTCTACTTTAGCCAATTAAAACAGTCAGACGCATTCAAGTCCATGCGGTTTATGAAAATAAAAGCCTTTAAATATTCTTCCAGACACATTTAGCAGCTAGATGTTAGTCAGATAACACTTCTATGTTCCTTCTTAATGCCAACTGTGTAAATAATTATCGATAAGTTGCTTATGACAAACCACTCCTTGTTTACTTTCAAGCTCTGCTTCCTTCAGTTGACACGTCACGTGTGCCCGTGAAGGAGCCGGTGAGCGCCAGCACACACACATATCATGTACATCTCCACATGTGAAAGTTTTTCTCTATATGTTTTCATCAAGTTGTTCACAATACTGATCCATCCACAGAGTTTGTAATGTAGTCAAATGTTTACAAACGCAAGCGCAGCCGTTTAGAGCTCATTTCTGGTTAAATTTCGCTATCTTAGAATGGATGTGTGAACGGTCTTTTCCAGAAATATTCCGTAACGTCCTCGCCTGTATGAACATCGCTTTTTTGAATTTACTTTTCAGATATTGACCCGTATCACTGTGTGAAAGGGGCGATTCTCTCATCATTTATCAGCCTTCACATGTTCCAAATCTGTTTGACTTTGTTCCGTTGAACACAAAAGCAGGTAATTTGAAAAAAGCTGAAACCTGTAACCATTGTCTTCCATAGAATTTGTTTTTTTTTTCTACTTTGGAAGTCAGTGATTAGGGTTTTCAGCTTTCATCAAAACATCTTCTTTTGGGTTGAGCAGAAGAAAGATACTTATAACAGTTTGGAACCACTTGAGGGTGAGTAAATAAAGTCTTGGGTGAACTATCCTTTTAAATCAGGGGTAACTGCCAGCTCGCTGGCCATTTACAGCCCCCAATCCTCTTTCCGTCCGGCTGCAACTGACATCAAAAATAGAATGAGATTTGGCCCCTTAAAATATACATTTTTGAATCACTATCATTGCTATGCAGTCACATAAAGGCGGTTTTGACGGTTTTGTATTTAAGGTACAGCACTATTCAATTCAATTCAATTCAGCTTTATTTGTATAGCGCTTTTACAATGTAGATTGTGTCAAAGCAGCTTCACATAAATGGTCATAGTAACTGGAATAGTGTGGTTCAGGTTTTAGTGTTTAAGTTCAGTTCAGTTCAGTTTAGCTCAGTTCAGTGTGATTATGTCACTATGTATTTGGTTAGTTTTACTGATGGTTTTGGTTACTTTCGGTGTGCGGTCGAGAGTAACGCACATGCAGATTGTTTCTGTGGCTGATTTAAACGTTGAAATAGATGTCTGTAAGTGCTCTGTTTTTACTAAAGCTCTGTTTTTGTAAATATGCAAGTGTCATTTGATTATAATCTGCTTTATATCACCTGTATTTTGTTGTACAGACACTGCTTTATGGCTTACACGTTATGCTGGTGGAGTAAATAAGATTATTTAGCTACACTGAAAAAAATGTTAAGTTATTTATTTAACCCAATGGTTGAGTTAAAAATGTTAGGTGCATTGTTGGATTATTTTTAACCTCTATTGGCCTATTTATTAATACTCAACCAGTTGGAATAAATATTTGGTGCTTTGTTGGGTTATTTTGAACTATTATTAGATTATTTATTTAATAACTCAACCAGTTGGGTTAAAAAAAATAGAATTTTAACAGTCAATTTAACCGACACAGAACAGCTGTATTCCCAGAGATGGGTTGCGGCTGGAAGGGCATCCGCTGTGCAAAAACTTGCTGGAAAGGTTGGCGGTTCATTCCGCTGTGGCGACCCCGGATTAATAAAGGGACTAAGCCTTCAAGAAAATGAATGAAGAAATGAGAACAGCTGTATTAATATGCGTGCCTAATGTTATTTTTGTATTGTAAAATTTGTTTAAGCTTAAACACAATAATTTTGTTATTTTTTTTATCAAATTACCTCTCCATGTCGTGTTTTTTACATCGGTTTGATCAGCACTCTTAATTATTGATGATCCAATGCTTTTCATAGCCGATCTATATTAAACAGATAAAAGTGTCTGGAGCTTAAAATGTAATTGAAATAAAGCATTTCAATATATTTTTTAAAACTGCATGTTTTTATTTACACAGCCATAATATAAAATTATAGTAGTAAAAGTAGCACTAGTGATACTAGAATGGAAAAAAAATATACATTTAATCAAAATAACCCAGTGCATTGGGTTAAATAATAAAACCTATATTAAAATGACCCATAGTTGGGAAGGTGCTATAATAACCTATAGTTGGGTTATATGTTGGGGTATTTGTAACCCAACTATTTTAACAGGGCAATATTCGATCTCATTTAATAGATTTTCCTCGTATGCATATTAAGATACTGATAAAAAAATGTGCAAAAAAAAATTGCTGCTTGAATTGAATTTGTTAAAGTAAATGTCAATACATTTATATGTTCCCATTCTTTGTTGTAGTTTTACAAAAAAGTTAGAAGAGCAATTACAAGTGAAGTCACTAAAGTTACCCAAACTGCTTACTGCTGTTCATATGCTATCTGTTAAACTTTTGGTTATGCAACAATTAGTTGGGACAGAAAAATAATAATTATAATGCCAATTATTTGTAGTATTTTCATAGCAATTTAAACTACCCCTTCAATATGTACAACAAGAAACCAAAAGCTCAAGTTTTGACTGTGTAGGAATGACAGAGACATAGTTCAGCAGCTGTGTGACACAAAAAAAAAAAATGTGCCAACTTGCATTAGCACAAGTGACAGGTAATGGCTGAAATATAAACATCATGTCTGTGATCCTAAGATGCATCAATTATGTCAGGTTTCCACTTTTTATTGTGTTTGAATGTTAAAACGGCCATCCGATGAATTGCAAGTCACTGAAATAACCCCCCACCAATTTGAGTGTGAGACTTCTGCTTAAAATACATATCTCTACACAAATAGGAGATCAATGTGATAACTTAATGTTGTGGTAAACACAACAGGTATATTTACCCCAAAGAATAAAGTTCATGGATTGACTGGAATTACATAGAATAAAAAGAGAATTAAATCAACATCAAGAGTATATAATGACTCGGTTATCAATATTGAGTTAATGTTTTAAGATGTTATTTAGCCCTGGGAATAATTTTCTGTACATTTTAAGAAGTGAAACTTACATTTTGATCAGTTATTGGTGCAAATTTCATCCCAAAAAAGAAGAGAGCGGTGATAGCAATGGGTTCAACTCCCAGGAAATGTATGAACTGTTGAAAAACGTGCGTATCCTCCAGCATACAGTAAGTCACTTTGGATTAAAGTGCCTGTCAAATAAATAATGTATAGCTTCAGGATAGCTGCATCCTATGGACCACTTTTATGGAGATGTTTGTTGTTTTCTTGTCCCTTTTTTTAGAGTCTGACAGCTGTGGTCACTGTAAACTGTCACTGTATGGAAAAACCTTGAAGAACAAAACAGCAGCTACCAAGTTTTAGGAGGATAGAAGAAACTCAAACGCTGACAGAATATTAATTTTGCGTCAGAATTATTCACTGGAGTTGCTTTCACACCTACCTTCATAATCTCTTTCACCTGCTATCTCGGTCTACGTTTTTTTTTTTTTTTCCGTTCTATTCATCGGCGTTTCATTGTTTACATTTCCTCTTTTATCTCCAACTCTCTGTCACAGTCATTGTTTGGCTGGTTAATTTATTCATCTACTCACTCATTCATTAATTCAACAAGCTGTCCCTCCCATTGCTGTTGTACTCACTCTCTCTCCTCTTTCTCCTGGTTCATCCGCTGTCTGAGCTCCTCCAGTCTGCTCTCCATCTCCTTGGCATGTTGATCCAGCTGCACTGTTTCCATACGCAACTCTCGGAGATTCCTGGGAGAAAAAATACTTATATGTTATGCCTTAACTAATGTACATACACTGTACAGTTGAAGTCAAAATGATTAGCACTAGTGTGGTTTTTCTTATATATTTCCCAAATGATGTTTAACCGAGCAAGGAATTTTTCACAGTGTTTTATATATATATATATATATATATATATATATATATATATATATATATATATATATATATATATATATATATATATATATATATGTGTGTGTGTGTGTGTGTGTGTGTGTGTATATATTTATATATATATATATATATATATATATATATATATATATATATATATATATATTTATTTATTTTTTTTTTTTTTTTTTTTTTTTTTAAAGATCTCTTGATTTGATTTTTAAAGATCTCTTGACGTCTGTATGATGTCAGTTTTACACACATTCTGAATCGCAAACATCTTAAAGATGTTTAATAGAAGTCTATTTCACATCTGATAGGAAACGTCTTGTAGATGTCTTGCAGATGTGAATGCAGACGTCAAATAGACATCTCCGAGATGTACGTGTGCTAATCAAAATCGGCCATTAAGAATCATGATCGGCGCATAACTAAAAAGAAAATGGGTGCTCCTAAATTTTTTGGGATGCTCCTAACTTTTTGAAGTTGGGAGCACCAGTGCTACCAAGTAAATAAGTTAATTTCGAGCCCTGTAATGTATGTATGCTAATGTTAAATCTTTAGCTTAGTTTGTCAACCAGGCTGCTTGTTGCTGTAAGTAAATTATGGGCCAGGCCAGCTAACGTCAGGTTGCCAACATTAACCAGTTTCAGAAACAACCAGTGGTTCCGACACACCAGCAGAAGCAGCACTCAATGGTGGTGAATGAAAGAACCAGTCATTATTATAATCTGATTTGATTATAGATTAAAACACTATTTGTGCATGTTTATATTCAAATAATTTTAAAAAAAATGTGTAGGGGGCCCACTGACATTGAGAGGGTACAGGGCCCAGAATTTGGTGCTACGCCCCTGACTGTTATACATTGATTTGCCTGATACCCTAACTTGGCTAATTAACCTAGTTAAGCCTTTAAATGTCACTTTAAGCTTAATACTACTATCTTGAAACATATCTAGTAAATTATTATTTACTGTCATCATATAAAAGATAAAAGATATCAGCTATTAGAAATTTGTTATTAAAAGTAATATGTTTAGAAATGTGGTAATAAAAAATAAACTAATAATTCAGGAGAGCTAATAATTCTGACTTTAACTGAATATATTCCACCTCAAAAGCACCAGAAGTGTTCATCAGCACATTATGAACATGGTGAGTACATTGTATTTATATTTTGATGCAAGTACACAGTAGTTAAGGCCATCGAATATAAAGTTATCACCAAATATATTTTATCACAGTATAATCACTATGGTTTAGAAAATGGCAATAAAATATGACAAAAACTCTGCGTTTGTGCTAGTACAAATTCATATTGATGAGATGAATTTTGATACATAACTTTTTTTTAAACTGGTATTTAACGAATCCATCCATAGTAGTATATAATACAGAATAAGAAAAAATACAGTGTCTAAGTTTTCCTATTTTACCACGATCCACTCAAAATAAAATAAAATTAAATAAAATGTATGAATTAAAATCAAACATATCCTCTGAGTAAAAAAAAAAAAAAAATCGCAAATAGAAAAGAGTAAATAAGATTTAAAAATTGAAATTATGAAAAGATAGCTTTTTTCGAAAAGGTACAGTATGTAATAAATTACCATCAACAAAAAATAACTCTGAGAACTGTTAGAATGATAATAATAATAATAATAATAATAATAATAATAATAATAATAATAATAATTCCTCACATTTATATAACGCCTTTCAGGGCACTCAAATCGCTTTACACGATGGGGGGAATCTCCTCATCCACCACCAGTGTGCAGCATCTACCTGGATGACGCGACGGCGGCAGCCATTTTATATTATATCTGAACATTTTTTGCTTTAAATGTACAGACTTTCAGAAACCAATGTGACTTTTTCATATTATACGTCAATATGCTTAAGACAATCATTCAGCTGAATACACAAAATCATGCTATTCTGCTAAAACGAACTACTCTAAACACTTGGACTGCTTCCATTTGCAAACACGACGTGTAACATGCTAATAATGTGAAAAATCTAAAGCATGAAAAGAAACTCATGGGAACCAACTGTTCAAACCTGACATTTAACTTCATTGACTTGGGCTTGCTGGGAAGTACCACAAAGTTGTTTAAATTCATGCTGCTCTCTGATCAGACTGTAAGCTTCACAGGCTGTAATTTCCACTGAAGTGTCCTGAGAAAATAGAGTTCTGAGTGAGAAATGCACAGCGCATAACAGGACACATTTCACTGAATTACCCTTTACAATAAAAGCACTGTAATGGTGTCATAGTTTAATGGTAAAATAGATCATAATTTCGTAGTTACAGCAAGGTAACTAAAATACATTTGACATAAAAGACCAGCCATTGAATAGTACAGAAAAAATAAGTCTATTTTATTACCAAAGTTCAAGCATAAGTACAGTTTAAGTCAAAATTATTAGCCCCCTTTTGAATTTTTTTTTTATATATATATTTCCTAAATGCTATTTAACAGAACAAGGAAAATTTCACTGTATGTCTGATAATATTCTTTCTTGTGGAGAAAGTTTTATTTGTTTTATTTCGGCAACAAAAGCAGTTATTAATTTTTTAAACAACATTTTAGAACAAAATTATTATCCCCGTTAAGCTATTTTTTTCCGATAGTCTTTAAATGTCACTTTAAGCTGTATAGAAGTGTCTTGAAAATTATCTAATAAATTATTATTTACTGTCATCATGGTAAATATAAAAGAAATTAGTTATTAGAAATGAGTTTTAAAACTATTATGTTTAGAAATGTGTTTCTCTCCATTAAACAGAAATTGAGGTAAAAATAAATAAGCGGTCTAATAATTCAGGGGGGCTAATAATTCTGACTTCAACTGTACGTTACCTAGCGCAAAAAAAATAAAAAAAAAATAAAATATATATATATATATATATATATATATATATATATATATATATATATATATATATATATATATTTGTGTGTGTGTGTGTGTGTGTGTGTGTGTGTGTGTGTGTGTGTGTGTGTGTGTGTGTGTGTTATTAATTTAATGCCACAAGAACAAGATGCATTACATTTCACATAGTTTTCTGAAAGAGAAATATATTGTAAAAATAAAACTAAATAAAAAAAATACATTAACATGAAATTAAATGTTTCAGAGCATTACATGTTTTCAGTGCTTATTTGTTTTGTGATTGTTCTAAAAGATTTACACATAATTTGAAGTCATTCACAAAATTGGAAAAGTTTGGTTTACATTGAGCTTACGTTTTTCTTATGTAAGTTATATGGTATTTTCCTAATAGCAAACAAATGAAAAATATGTTGTCATTTACAGTTCAAGTTTTCATTATCAGAATAAAACAGTAAATCAAACAACAAATCTTATTATACATTTTTTGTTAATAAACAATTATAAATCTTTCCATAATATTCTTGTGTAAATACAATAAAAAAGATGCAAATTGTTTCTTTTTCTTGACCACAAAAATCGCACATACATGAAATATTAAGTTTGAATCTTTCCAAAACATGTTTAGTATGGTAAATTCTATGAAGTTATAGATGTAAAACTTGTTTGTCAACTTCCAAGCTTTAACCCAAGAAACATTATTAAATAATGAAAGCCGAAAATATTTTGCTGTAGGTGGAGACAACGAGCAGAGAGCATTCCTTATAACCTTATAGACTATCTGAATATTTATAGGTTTATTAACATAACCTACGTCACATAAGCTGATAGAAACAATCAATGTGTTGAAATAGTACCTTTTGGTTTTTGTGGATTTCTGTTGTCAAACCTTTAAGGTTAAATAAATATCAGAGGTTATTATTCAAGGGTGTAAATAACATTGCCTCATTAACTTACATAGTCTTATTTCCTTCACATTTTGGCGCCAGAATGATTACAATATATTCCAAAATAAATATATATTCAAAGGATCTAATTGTTACTAACGTCCCGAGCAAAAACATAGGCTATTTTACCAACAATTTGATTGTTATCAAAATGTCACACCTACCTCGCGAATTAGCTTGTGAAAACTGTTGTGTGTACATCTGTCGTTATAGCAACACGTCTCATTCTCGCGACAGCGTGCGGGTTCCATGAGACGTGCACGCGTAGGTGCTCGTGCACAGAGAGGACGACAGAAAACGGTCATGGGAAAGTCAGCAGAGTGAGTTCAACTTGAGCAGCAGATACTCGCTTAAATTATTTATTTTAATTCAGTTTTTCTCAAAAAATGTAAGTGCTTTTTAACATGGTGTATGATATTAGTCCTGCTAACAAGTTTTAGGATTATTAACAATTTTAATAATTAAGGTGAAACGATCATGTTGAACTTTTTTTTTATAACAAATGAAACATTTCCATTACATTATATCACATTACAAACCAGGGAGCAAAACAAAAATGTATCTTTTAAACAGATTCACAGTTTGACAGCTTCCTTGTTAGTAGATTCAGAAATCAATGACATATAAAGGTTTAGATCTTCAAGAAAAACCTGAAAGGAAGAAAGGTTTACGCTTACAAAATTTACACTTGTGTATAAAGTGTTTGGCCAAAATATAATAAGATTAAATAATCATCTTAAACATCTGGATGTTCATTCTCATGGTTATATCCTAAAACAACATTTTCATACTTTAACATAACATCAGGAATTATACCACTAAATATACCTAAAACGTTTGTCCCAAAAAATTTTGGTATACTCACAATTCCAAAAGAGGTGAGACATCTTTGATTTGGTGATCACAGAAGGAGCAATATATACATCAAAATATTCAGAAACAGACCTTTTGTAAAAAAAAAAAAAAAAGCTTTTGTAGGATAGCACCTATGTATTGTTTTAGAAGATACTCCACAGATTTTATTGTACATTAGGAATTTCTGAGGTAAGGTCCATTTTCCACTTAATATTACCTATAAGTCTGATCCAATAATAGACAGCAGTAGGACAAGATTATCTCAAATTCTTTAGCTGTAATTGGATGTTTATAATGGGACAAAAATTCCTCATATTTAAAAGGAACTCCTCTGATATTAAATAATTGTTGAACATAAATTATATAATTTTTTGCCCAATTATCAAAGTAAATGGACTTATTTTTGTACAGTAGATCTTTGTTGTGCCAAATTATATAATATAATTATGTGGGGAAAAGTTGTGCTTGTAGATTAAAGACCATGATAACAGACATTGTTTATGAAACAAAAATAGTTTGGATGGAATTCTTTTAGGGTTATAATTACACAAGAGCAAACAAATTATATCCCCTAATTTAGAGAAAAAGAAACGGTATTAAATTCCACAAAAAGGCAGGATTTTAAAGATGCTAATTAATCCAATTAATTCTGAATGTATAATTAAGATTAGCAAAACTGATGAAATTAAGACAGCCATTTTCATAATTATTCAAAACTACATAGTTTCTATAGTGTTTATTTTTCCATAAAAAATTTAACTTTTTAGTTTTTTCCAAAATTGGCTAGAAGTTATCTGCACATCTGTTCTTCATATCTTTTGATACAACAATGTCTAGATAATTAAATTTGTCTTTCACTGGAATGCCATCTATACTTGCCAAAGAGCAAAGTTTTATTGACAATAATTCACATTTATTAATATTTAAATGCAAGCCTGAACTTGTTTTTGATGTATGTACTGTAATTAGTTTAATCTGTTTGAAGAAGTTTTTTTTTGTTTGTTTTAAAATGTATTAAAACATAGTTTTAAGGCTTTAAAGTAGTAAAATAGAAAGAACATTTAATGTAAATATTTTTATGTAATGTTTTTTCAATGAGTGACTGTTTCATAATCTATACAGTGTATTTTATTTTTAATAACATTTATTTTATATGGATGGATGAATGGATGGATGGATGGATGGATGGTTAGATAGATAGATAGACAGACAGACCAACAGATGGATGAATAGATGCTAGATGGATAGAGATGAATAGATGGATGGATGGATGGATGGATGGATGGATGGATGGATGGATGGATGGATGGATGGATGGATGGATGGATGGTTAGATGGATAGACAGACAGACGGACGTATGGACGGGTGGACGGTTGGATGGATGGATGAATAGATGGTTAGATGGAAAGAGATGAATAGATGGATGGATGGATGAATGGATGGATGATGGATGGTTATACAGACAGACAGGCAGACGGACGGTTGGATGGATGAATGGATGGATGAATAGATGGATAGAGATGAATAGATGGATGGATGGATGGTTATATGAACAGACAGACGGACAGACAGACAGACAGACAGACAGACAGACAGACAGACAGACAGACAGACAGACAGACAGACAGACAGATAGATAGATAGATAGATAGATAGATAGATAGATAGATAGATAGATAGATAGATAGATAGATAGATAGATAGATGGGAATTATTATTATTACTTAAACTCATGAATTACATTTGATGGTATGTAACCAGTAACAATGTATGCAAATCATAAACAATGCATGATCAATTATTGTTGATATTATTAATATGCAAATACACAAATAAGAAACAAACACCAAAAAGAACAGTGTTACAACAGTGAAACCACAGTCTGGAGCTCTGTTCAGTTGTTTTCACTTGAACCCTGAGCTTGCATTGTGTGAGCAGTTATTAAAAGTTTCTCGAGCGAAAATAAAAGCAGAGTTTTGCTGTTTTCTCTGTGTTTGGCAACTCTAATGTCGGTGCTAATGAAGTCCTGACGTACATCAAGCGTCCTGCGGCTTTTTCTGACACAGAGGAGAGAGACCTCTGTTGCTCCTGTAATTACGGACAGCTTGATTTCCCTAATTAAAATCATTTCAGCACTAAAATCAAATTTCATGTGGATGGTTTGATTGCAGTCATAAGAACCGTCATTAAAGCATCAGCACCGTATGTCTCAATTAGTCTACAAAAATTAGTCTACTGTTTTGTTTTCACCAGAGTTTCGTGTCAGCCATTTCACTCGTATACATTTATTTTCCTTCATCAAATTCAACGACAGGTTTAAATGTATTCATCTTTATGTAAAATTACTGGAATCTGCCTGGTTTGGTTGTGTTTTTTTTTTTTTTACAATAAGCAAAAAATGATGACTATAATGCATCTTCATCAGGATTTACAGAGCGCTAAAATGTCATTCAGGACAATTATGATTAATGTAGCAAAAATAATGTTATGCATATTTAGAACAGCATAACAAAAATCATTTAACTTTGCCACTATCAGTTTGTCACCAAGAATCTTTCTGTAATTTTGTATAACTTATTATTTTTAAGTAAAGATCAGAATAAGTCTTTTTATAACTTAAATACAACCACTAACTGGCCACTTTATTAGGTAGATTTTACTAGTACCGGGTTGGACCCCCTTTTGCCTTTAGAACTGTCTTAATCCTTCATGGCAAAGATTCAACAAGGTACTGGAAATATTCCTCAGAGATTTTGCTCCATATAGACATAATAGCATCATGCAGTTGCTGCAGATTTGTCCGCTGCACATTCATGATGCGAATCTCCCGTTCCACCACATCCCAAAGGTGCTCAATAGGATTGAGATCTGGTGACTGTCGAGGCCATTAGAGTACAGTGAACTCATTGTCATGTTCAAGAAACCATTACAGGGTTTAACGCTAAGGATTTTTTCTACTGGGCCGATCGGGCCAGTGGTTGAGATTTTTATTTGCCCTGCAAAACTTTTCACTGGCCCCAACAACAACAAAAAAAGTTAATATTTGGTATTTCTTAGCCACATATTTTAAATAATGTCTTTGAATATAGAATTTAAACAATTTAAAAATGTTAATAAGTGTATGATGAGCAAAATTCAAGATTTTATGCAAGCAAAAGAGCGGTATGGAAAATTTATTTTTCTTAATTTTGTAACCATGCAATTGTCTGCTTCCAAGACTTTAGAAACCCACTTTTTTTGTGTACTTTTTTTTTTGTAACTTTTTTTATATCTTTTTACTGTACTGGTTGCTACCAGGTTACGAAAAAATAACTTGCTCATCGTTACTGGCCGATAGGGGCCAGTAACAATCCTGTCTACTGTCCCGAGCTTCTTTCACGCTGGCCCCGGGCCACCGGGCAGTCCTTATTGTTGAGCCCTGCAGTCTGAGATGATTCACACTTTATGACATGGCGGATTATCCTGCTAGAAGTAGCCATCAGAAGATGTGTACACTGTGGTCATAAAGAGATGGACATGGTCAGCAACAATACTCAGCTGTGGCATTAAAACAATGTACAATTACTACTAATGGGGGAAATGGCTGTGTCATATGGAACTGAGGGTATTTATAGTGGCTTAGAAATTGTCTGATTGGTGAATCATAGATTGAATAATGCGGGGCCGGCTGCAAGCAATCATAAGCACTTGATCCTATTGAAATTAGTTTATAAATAAATTTTACTTTGTGAACAACAGAACAACAAAACTCAAATTGGTATGGATAAAATATAGGGTCAACTATCACTTTAAAATGATTCAGATGTACAGTGCTCAACATAATGACCGTACAACCCACATAAAACCCAATCCAGCACAACCTATTTTGAAAATTAATATTTGTATCCATGTCTTAGTGAATATGGGTCATGGTGCATTTGAACACAACATATTAAATAAACGGATATATATATTAAAATAATATTTTAGTCACCGAACATGTTTAGAAATAGAATTTACATTGATTCAGAAAAAAAAAATTACAAACTACAAATTTTTGTTAAAAAATGTAATTAAAAATATAATAATAATACTTAAAAAAAAATTGTCCCTCTTGAACTTTGCTCTTTTTACATTTTTAATTTAATATTTTTCCCTAACATAAATATGGGTGTACTCATTTTAGAAGTTATTTTGTTAGACAAGCTCCAGATTTAGCTTCAGTGCTGACTAATTTAATGTATATATGCACAAATACAATATTGTTAAGCTACCTCGAGAAAATTAGAAAATCTAAATGAGAGATTTATGAGGGGTGTACTTATACAGTAGAAGTCAGAATTATAAGCCATTTATTAGTCCACCTGTTAATTTTTTTCCCACAATTTCTGTTTAACAGAAAGCTGATTTTTTCAACACATTTCTAAACATAATAGTTTTCATAACTCATTTCTAACAACTGATTTATTTTATCTTTGTCATGATGACAGTAAATAATATTTGACTAGATATTTTTTCAAGACACTTCTATACAGCTTAAAGTGACATTTAAAGGCTTAACTAGGTTAATTAGGCAGGTTAGGGTAATTTAGGGTAAGTTATTTTATAATGATGGTTTGTTCTGTAGAGTATAAAAATATATAGCTTAAAGGGGCAAATAATTTTGACCTTAAAATGGATTTAAAAATTTTTTTTAAAATTTATTCTAGCCAAAATAAAACAAATAAGACTTTCTCCAGAAGAAAAAATATTATCAGACATACTGTGAAAATTTCCTTGCTCTGTTCAACATCATTTGGGAAATATTTTTAAAAAATAAAATAAAATTCAAAGGGGGGCTAATAATTCTGACTTCAACTGTAAATGTTAAACACTGTAATAATTATGTTGATGTAATTATTAAATTGTCCAACAGCATTGATGCGCCGAGCCACGTCGATATTTTGGACCTGAACGATTATTAAAAGCTCTTTGCATACTGATGCTAAACAGGTATAATAGAGCATCATTCCAGGAAAATGATTTCCAGCACAGCTGCGCTAGCTTCAAGTCTGTCGTGTCACTCTGCGCTCGCTTTTCTTCTCACATAATAAACTCATTTAAAATCCAATCAATATTTCATGTCCATTTATTTATTTATTTGCAGTGGTGTAATAATGACTCGTTATTGAAAACTAAACCCCAACGTGGCGATCAGCACACTAACGTGAAATGTACTGCAAGTGTGTGTGACAGAGAGAGAGAGAGAAAGAGAAACTCTGCCTGTCTTCACAGCACCTCATTGGTATTCAGCTGGAGTTCAGACTTTCAGATCTGCTATTGCAAAGGTATTCTTCCAGATCTGGTCTTGCCTCTCTGTTCCTCTTCCCTCACTGCTTCCCTGCCTCTCTCGAGCGGGTCAAAAGAGAGAAAAGAGAGAAAGCAGGCATTTCTCTTCCTTCCTCAAGGCAGCACTGATGAAGGCTGATGGTAGACTTTGACTTCCCCCTCACCTTTCTCACAAACCTGCATGAAATTGACCAACGAGTCTGTGACCCACAGATGGATCCTGTGCAATGTTCGATCCTTTATCTTCTGTGATAAAAAAAAAAGAAAAGTACATTTTACAGCAAATCTTACATTTTCTTATTGCAATTTTTTTTCATTTTTAAGACTAAATTGTTAGCCCTCCTGTGAAATTTGAACTCTTTTTCAAATATTTCTCGAGTGATGTTTAAAAGCGTAAAAAAATGGCTTGAATAAAAAATACAGAAAAAACAATTGCAATTTAAAGAATAAATAAATGATTATAAATTATTTATTAAAACTGTTGTTTAAAAATGTGTTGATCTCATGGGCGCCAATATCCTAGTGGTTAGAATGTTGGCACATAGTACCGCAGTGCTAGCAGCAACCAGAGTTCCATTCCTGGCTCGAGGTCCTTTGCCAATTTTTCCCCTATTTCTGCTCCCCAAACTATCCTGTCTAAATAACTCCTCTGTCCTATCAATAAAGGTGAAACCCCCTAAAAAATGTATATATATATATATATATATTTTTTTTTTTTTTTTCTCTCAATTTTTCAATTTTTTTTCTCAATTTCTGTTTAGCGGAAAGAAGATTTTTTTTCAACACATTTCTAATCATAACAGTTTTAATAACTCATCTCTAATAAGGGTGTCACGATCCTTCAAATCCTCGATTCGATTACATTTTCGATTCTAAAGGCACGATTCGATTCGATTTTCGATTATGAATAATTAATGACCGATTCATTATTTGTAGCCTACCGTTTGAACTACCTGACCTGCATGGTCTTTGTTTTACCCATAAACAAATCATACAGTAAATGAATAAAGGCAAGATACACACATAATTACCACCTGTCAATCACTTTTTCTGCGCGACTCGTGAATAGGCAGTGATCTGTGTTGTTATAATGGCGTCTGTAAAAAAGACGCACAACCAACAGGAACCAGCCAACAGTATCTGAGGTGTTCGCTAAAATGACTAAGTACAAGTGAGTGAAAGATTGAAGCAGTCCTCTGACTGCCTGGAGCTGCTGTCTCGAGCCCATGGCTGTGTGTGTGCGTCTGTGTGTGTGTGTGTCAGAGGTAGAGAGGAAGGAGGGCTGCTCAGAAATGCTACACGCCACTGTGGATGTCAAATCGTTGTCGTTCTAAAATGCCATTTAAAAACAAAGAGAGTGTAAACAGGGCCTGAGTGTGTACTTTTCGCGAGCGGATTTGCAACGGGGGCGAACATAATACGTACACAGCAGAGCTTGCAAAACTGTGTTTTTTTTGTCGACAACATGAACGTTGTCAACATAACTCACTGGAAATCCAAAATGCTTACACACCGGCGACTTCATTGAAAGAGGAGAGGGTTTAAGTTCTGTTGACGGGTCTCCTGCTTCTGCAGTTTAACAAGCACTTCAACAAGCCTGTTTTTTTCCCGCTTGGCAAGCCAAGCTGACGTGACATGGGGGCGTGGCAGCATCGACGATTCTATTTTTTGATTCGATAATCGAAATTGAACATAAATTTCGATCGATTTCGATTAAAAATCGAAATCGGGACACCCCTAATTTCTAATAACTGATTTTTAAATCTTTGCCATGATGACATTTATTTGATATTTTTCAAGACACTTCTATACAGCTTAAAGTGACATTTAAAGGCTGAACTAGGTTAATTAGGTTAACTCGACAGGTTAGGGCAGGGATGGGCAAATTTGATCCTCGAGGGCCGGTGTCCCTGAAGAGTTTTGTTCCAACACTAGTCAAACACACCTGAACAAGCTAATCAGTGTCTTCAAGATAACATCTTCAAGACTAGAAATCTATAAGCAGGTGTGTTTAATTAGAGTTGGAGCTAAACTGTGCAGGGCATCGGCCCTCCAGGACCGAGTTTGCCCACCCCTGGGTTAGGGTAATTAGGCAAGTTATTGTATAACGATGGTTTGTTCTGTAGATTATCTAAAAAGAAATAGCTTAAAGGAGCTAATAATTTTGTCCTTAAAGTGGGTTTAAATTCAAGCCGAAATAAAACAAACAAGACTTTCTCCAGAGGAACACATATTATCAGAAATACTGTAAACATTTCCTTGCTCTGTTAAACATCATTTATTCTAAAGAAGCTGTTGATGTGGAATTGAACCAGATTTAGGTAAAAACCCAAACAAAACAAACATCAAAATAAAACAAAAAGAATTTCTGGAACATTTGTTATGTATAATAACAATGGAATGACAGCAGAATAAAGTACTGAACTACTGAAACGTATTTAATACTTTACATTTAAGGCTTTTTTGGTGATGGCAGCTTAAAGACGCCTCTCATGCATTGCACAGGTGTGAGTTTTCCACAGAGTTTGAGAGTTCAACAGTGTGTCAAATTCTTGATGGTTCTGTGGGTCTCGTCTATCAAATCTGATCTTTATTTTGTGTTTTCTATTGGATTCAAGTCAGGTGATTGGCTGGGCCATTCTACAGCTTGATTTTCTGTCTCTGAAACCATTTGAGAGTTTCCTTGGCTGTGTTTTGGATCATTGTCTTGATTAAATGTCCACCCTTGTTTCATCTTCATCATCCTGCTAATGTAGATGTTGGGCTGAAGCAGCTAATATACATTTACACTGAGGAAAGGCAGATGATTGCTAAAGAACTACTGAGAGATTTTAGCTGCTGTCTGGGCTTTCACTGCCAAACTACACCTCCCTTTCTTCATGCGTTCAATACTTTCTCCTGTGTTGTTTCATTCTATTATGCATATGTGTAAACTAATTAGACTTGTTTTCCTTGCATATATTAATTTCTTTGGTTGTTACCAACATCTGGTGAAAATTTCAAGTCCACAGCACCTTTAGAAATAAGTTTTTGGAGAAAAATGGTGACGTGTTGAATACTTATTTCCCCCGCTGTATTTGAAATTGATCAACCAGTCTATGACTCACAGATGGATCCTGTGCAATGCTTTATGTTTTGTGGGGAAAAAACAAAACAAACCAAAAGTACATTTTACAGCAAATCTTACATTTTCTCATTGCATTTTTTTCATTGGAAAATATAGATTACTGTACAAGTTGAAGACAAAATTGTTAGTCTTACTGTGTAATTTAAAATTACACAGTAATTACAAAGAAATAAAAATATTTCTTTTTCATATATTTTTCAAGTAATATTTAACAGAGCGAGGAAAACTTTTATCAAAAAATATTTAACATTAAACATTTTACTTAATAATTTAAACAAAAATTTAATTGGCTACAAAACAACTGTTGTCCAATGACTTGCCTAATTAAACTATTAAAGCCTTTAAATTGAAATTTAAGCTAGTTTCTTGCTGAATAACAACCAAAATATTATGTAGGTGCTTTCATCATTGCAAAGACTAAATAAATTATTAGAAATGATTTATTAAATCTATTGTTTTAGTGGGAGTGAATTGTTTTGCTTTATCCGAAAGGTATAAAAAGCTGCCATCTGAGAAAGCATTCCAAGACAGGAAAGCAACATGGCACGTCCAAATCCAAATTTTGCTTCACTTCCTGTCTTGAGAGATACCTTCTTCTTATTGAATTTTCAATGTAGCATAGATGTGTCCTTCACTGACTTTGATATCCCACATTCCAGTGTGTTTCGTTGCTTTTAACCCTTGTGTGCTGTTGCGGATGTTTTCATCCACTCTGGGGTGATCTTGAGTCTTAATTTGGCCACAACATTCTCTGCTTCAGCAAATGGACTGATTTTTGGAGACAAATCTTATTTTGACACGCAACGCAGCATTCCAGCAAATTAGCGGTAATGTTGCAAATATGCGAAAAATTGCCAGAACGGATTTACTGCTATTTTCAAAAAGGGTCTGTTCATACATACAGACCTTTCCAGAATATTGCCGGTAAAGGTCTGTATGTGTGAAAGGGGCTAACGACGTCACACTCTTCTAAAAATCTGCTTCATTTTAGTTTAAGTGCAAAAGTTAAAATTCTTATGAAATACCAGCCAGACGTGTTCTTGACAGTTTCGTGAGATTCACTCTTAATATCTATTCAAATCTATCCGATGCCACAACTTTGGCTCCAGCCACAAGCAAGATAGACTGAGACGGAATACAAATGAGCCGGATGGACATCACAATCAGACAGAGAAAGAAAGAGAGATTAAAATCACAGAGGTCGTGTGCCGTAACAGTGACAGATGAGAGGTAAAATGTGGCGCATGTGTTGAAATGTCAGGGCTATTTAATTCATTATGGTGCTCGATCACAGCGGCTGCTTCAAATGTCATTTGTTAACTTTGGCTTTCATATGAGATGGCTGAGCTTAAAATATTGTGAGATCTTCTCAGCGAGAGGCTGGTTAACTATTTTAAATCATTAGTCTGAGCAATGTGATTTACAGGTGCACAAACATGGCACATATAAATGTTGATTTTTATAAAGGTAATTGAATATTATTTATGATAATGTCGGCATTTTAAGGGGCAACCATTTAAACATGTCTTCAGTGCAAAATTGGTGAATACTGGAAATATAAAAAGAGTAATGATATGCATTAAATATGTAAAGTTATATATAAATAACTGTTTATTCAGAAGTTTAGAGAAGACAATCATCACAAAACACTGAAGTATGACTATTTAATAAAGAAATGCATATGCTATAAATTTGCAAAGTTACAAAGAAGTTCTTTCAAAACAGTAACTGCAGTCAATAAAAAATGCAAGCATTTAAACTGAAACTTGTCACCAAGAATCTAATGAAAGTATTTTATTACATAAAAACAATAACTGGCCACTTTATTAGGTACACCTTACTAATAGCAGGTTGGACCCCGTTTTTATGTCTACTTTAGAAATATTGTCGAAAAAAATATTGTTTGTATTCAACAAAACATACAGAGAAATACAGGGCCGGAGTGGGACTCCTTTTCAGCCCTGGAGTTTCAAGCCTCAGACCGGCCCACCTCAGTTCACGACTGACTATATTAAAATAAGGACATTTACAATTCAGTTTCTAATTACACTATCACGTCTTTTTTTGAGAAAACAGCTGCTTTAGAACTTCAAATGTTCAAAAACCCTAACAGTATTAT